TGGACACGGTCGGTCCAAGACTCCAGCTCTCAGCCCCAGCGTCGCAGCGACGCCCGCAGCGGCCAGTGCCTCGAATACGATGCCTTCTACTCCAGCGATGGACAAGGCGAGCGCGGCAGCCGCCAAGGAACAACACGCGACGACCAACGGCGACACGGGTAAGGAGGATGAGGAGCGCGATGAATCGATCTACCATCTACCTCCAGGGCTGCAGGATTTGATTCAGTCGTTTGAGATCACGAAGAGCCGCGCTGCGACCAGTGCTGCGAGCTCGTCGCCATCGGTTCAGCGGCTGCTCGCGGCATCACTGGCGACTTGCCCGGAGCCTGCCGATGCAGAGAAGCCCCGTCATTACCGACCCTCGAATCCTTACAACACCCCGCTCTACTACCCGCAAGAACCACTCGCCATATTCGATGACCCTCGTCTGTATGACACCGGACGGATCGACACCGATACTCTTTTCTACTTGTTTTACTACCGTCAGGGAAGCTATCAGCAGTACCTGGCGGCCAAGGCGCTCAAGAACCAGAGCTGGCGCTTCCACAAACAGTACCAGACTTGGTTCCAACGCCATGAGGAGCCGAAGAACATCACCGAGGACTATGAACAGGGTACATATCGGTTCTTCGATTACGAGAGTACCTGGTAAGTCTCATTCTTCGTTTTTTTCTCTTTTCTTTTTCATGCAACAAACTAATCGAGATGCAGGATGAACCGACGCAAGGCGGATTTCAAATTTATCTACAAGTATCTGGAGGATGAATTATAAGATGTGTATCTTTGGGTGCATATGGGACGGGCTTTCCTTTTTCTGCTGGACAGGTGGCGAACAAGGATATTTTGACAGGTTCATCTTCATCTTCATCATCATCTTCGATACTTGTGGTTGTCTTGAATGTCCGCATTGGGCTGGTTGGGTTTTGACTGGTGCTGGCGGGAATATTTGATATTTACTTCATTTATTTCCTGCCCCTGTTCTTCCCCTCCTTGTCTGTTTCTCTTTCTTCTCATATTTCTTCTATGGTGTCATCTATGAACGAGTAAATGAATGGGACAGCAGAACATGGGAGTTCTGCTTATGCTACTTTCCATTCCTCGGGTGGCTGATCGAGCAAAGTAAGAAACAACACTATCAAAAGTACCGAGTAGAAAAAAAGTCCAAGGCTAGATTCACTGGAGAAGGTTTTCCCCCTCTGTCCGAGCTTAAGGTGAATCAGTAGCTCCTCTGGGCTGTGAATCAAGCAGATGACCCTGGCAGGACATGGCTGAAGCTTACTGACTACTCTCTACCCTATAATTCCCCTTGTTAAGACAAAGGTAAAGAACCCACCCTTACCTGCGTCCCAGGAGCAGGAACTGACAACAGTAGACAGGAATACAGTACCTCTTTGCCCCGGTTGTCATCATTAATCAACTTAAGAGTACAACGGTATTAATGATAACTGGCTAATGCAAGCCTCTATCCGCCTCACTGAACCACTCCTCCGTATTCTCCTATCCAGACTGAACCACTCCTCCGTATTCTCCTATCCAGACTGGCCGTAGTTCGCATCATAATCTATTCCATACACTTACAGCAATCGAGGGTGCGGGATTTTTGAACCTGCATCATCATGATCACCGAAGAGCTCGATGCATCAGATGAACGCCGGGGAGCCTTGCCAATCGTCTAGTCTCCAATGGGTAAGTCAGACGCTAAAGTAGCCGGGGGCTGTGCGGTTGTGATCTCCCTTTGGCTTCGTCAGAGTTCAGTCTCCAAGCCCCAAGGCCAAGACCAAGCGATCAATTGCAACCGGCTCCCTTGGCAGACTGTGACTGTTGTCATTGGACAGATAAGTGGCGATTCCCTGGATAGTGGACTTGGACGGGAACAAGCCCACAAGGCTGTCGAATCGCAGATTTACTGGGTGTGGACTGTGGAGTAGTAGGAGGAACGTAGACTAGATAGACTGTAGAATGTCAAGCAGAATAAATCAGATTATTTCTCCCCGGAAAACGTGCCGACTGCCAAGTGAATTGATTCAGTGATTGTGATTTCATTGTAGCAGGGAATAATGAAGCTAGTTGCCATGAGTGAAGTAAAGGAGAAGATTGTTGCCTGAGGGGTTTCCGCTCAAGAACACATGACTTGCTAATTCCGTACTTTTGACAGCTGTCCCGTTTCCTTCTGGTACTTCGTCTCAGGCTGTCTTGTCTTTCTTTGCGGTGATTTTGCCCGCCTGTTCCATTATCACCCTTTTCTAGTCTCACTCCGAGAAGATACTTCTGTCTAAGTACTGACTAGGTATCGGAGCCTTGCGATGAAAGCTCTCAGCCAATCATGACCACCCGAGGCGGTTGCCTTCATCGCAGATGATCCCCAAGTCAAACCTACCGAGTAACCAAGGTAAGACTACGGAGGACGGGTCTATCCCCAAAGCCTCACGGCCAAACAGGATGTCAGCAGCGGCTCGCCGGCTCCACAGCGCATTTATGTGCAAACTGGGGAGTGGATCGATGCATGCCGTCTAGTCAGTACTAGTACGATGATGTTGGCATTGTACGGAGTATGATTACACCTATCATCATCCTCATCGTGTTCGCGACTGCAGTTGCACTGGGTGGGCTGTTCATCCCCGTCCATCTTCCCCCAATCATGACTGTCAATCCCACCGCAGGGGAAATCCCAAGACGCCTCCCTCGTTTGACGCTAGAAGGGCCCAAGAAGTTTCCATTGTTCTCCGAGTCTTCTGGTGCCAACGCTAAGCAGGGTTCTTGCCTGCTGGATGATCGACCGCTTCACTCTCCTGCAGCAGACTCTCCAATCACGGTCCCGCTCGAACGGCTCGATAGTGGCTGAGTGTCGCGATGACAAAACTAGCGGACTAGTTAAGTACCTTGGATAGATTGAATCATCGGAATCGACTCTCAGGTCGTCTCTTTTCTCGTCTTCGCTTACCCTCGCCATCCATTGGGTCAACCTGGATACCTTGATTCCTCGTTCAGGTGACGTCGCCCATGAATGGTTTGAACTCATTTGAAGTCCTGCGTTAAATACTCGATGTATGTATAAACCCGCCGGGATGTCGGTTAAACCATCGACTGGGAGAAATCCAGAACTCGATGCACGTGCGACCAGTTGATTTAATGGCTGTCGCATTCTGCTGCTTTTTACTGTCTTAATTGTCATTATAAGAACCTACAGGCCCCTTTCTTTTGTTTCATCTTTGTCTACATCTACAGACTTCAATCATCATGTACTCTCTAATAATGAACGACAGACTCCACCCTCGGTTCCCAGTGGTAATTGCAAACTCAACTCTTTTACTATAACCCTTCAAACTAATAGTTGTTGTACTTCCAGAACTCAACTCATCCTTCATCTACACCCATGGAACAATCCCCAAGCCAACACTCTGTTCAGTCATTCAGCTTCGCAGACGTCTTCCCCTCAGGCGGAAACGAGCTCGAAATTCCTCTCAGTCACTCTTTTGACTCGGTCTACGAGTTCCCGCCGCCAAGCCCCTACAACACTACCAGCGTCCCAGACCTCTACGCTCTGAACACCTCCTACAGCGTCCCCATCCCATCCTACTCCTCCTCCTACGAGACACAGTTCGCATTCACTCCGAGCATCGAAGAATCGTTGCTCGCACAATATCCGCTCAGCACCAGCGCTTCCTCGTCCGAGTCCTCCAAGTAAGCACCCTGTTGTGTCGTAAGCTCCCCGGCCTGGATTTAGCACCTAACTAACTCTGAACCTCCAGATCATCCAAACCTTATGCCTGCGAAGACTGTGGAAAGGCCTTCACCCGCTCCGCTGACCTCAAGCGGCACCAGGCCAGTGTCCACTACCCGGTCTACCAGGATTGCCCCGTGGAGCACTGCCCGCGGAAGGATCTCAATGGCTTCCCGCGGCGAGACCATCTGATTGAGCATCTTCGTTCATACCACCACATGGACCTGCCTAAGCGCCGGATGACGAAGCGAGTCCCGAGGGCGTCTGCTTGAACTTTTCTTTTCTCTTTATGTTCATATTCACGTCCATGATTGATGCCGGTTTTAGACACGATGTATGATCCCTACTGATGCGCTATTCCCCGTTTCTCGTTCCAAGCACACTGTTTTCTACTGGCTTCTGGTACTTTGTTTTTCCTTCCCATGTTATTATCGTCTTTTACATTTGTCGGTTCGATGGTTCAACGAGTTGGAGGTATAGAGGCGTTCGGAGACGAAATAGGCATGCATGTGTCTTTTCATTATAGCCACTGTGCATTTGTTTCCTGCCCTGGATGACAGAACAGGCCGGACGGATGTGTCATGGCTACCATGTGTGATGATTTGTTTTATTTATTTATTATTTATTTTTTTTTTTCTTTTTCTTTTTTACGTTGTTGGATTAATGATAGACTGGACGGCGAAGGGCTGCTTTTTGTCTTTGACTTTGACTTGGTTGTACTATGGTTCATTTATACATATCTCTTTTGGTGTCATATTCTGGATTTATAGATCGATGCGTTTTGATCATATTACTGAAACACAACACCAAATCTATGTTCTTTGATAATTGGCAATGCAAATATGGGCTGTCTGGTCGAAGGTTTTATCGGATCGTCTTTGTCTCGACTGTAGATGATAATATCATCTATATAAACAAGAACGAAGTTCCAGAGGTAGTGGGATAATATTCGTTCCATGCGCGCTTGAAAGAAGCCTGGGACGGTTGCTAAGCCCATGAACGCTAACTTAGTTGTTCATGCCCTCTATGGCGTGTAGCAAAGGGAGTCTTCCACCTGTCCTCTTTCCGTATAGGCTGGTTGAAAATTCCCCTGGTTATGTCGAGTGCGCTGAATATGGTCGCTCCTCACGTCGCGCCGCTTGTGAGCACCAATGAAAAGGGTAGAGGTCGCAAGGGGTTGATGAGAATTGATGGATCTAACGAATGGAAACGATGGAACCTAAACGTTGGATTGTATTGGGATCCTACCGTACTCCACTGGATTGGCAAGGCTGAAAGCTCAGGGAGCACCATCACGGCGCAATTGCTCTATGCGGAGTCTCTCTTTATCCAGTCTAACAATGTCATCCAAACGGTTCAACTCGGTGTCAATCCAAAGCGACAGGGTATCGGTGTGTCGGCAGATCAGGTGGAACGCTTTCTGAGATGCAGTCGCCGACCTTTCTTGATATTGGGCATAGTAACCCTCCTCCGATCGTCTGTACGGTGACCTAAGGTCGTTTTTGACAGTGATGAGCTCAGCAAATAGGGTCCCAACAGCAGCAATGGACTCATCAGCGAACTCGCTAGGTACATGGTCGGGTATGTCCTGGCGTGGTAGGGGATAGGCACTGGGTATCGACTTATTTAGTTCTGTAACAGACTTTATAACAGCAGGCTTGTTAATAAGTGTGATGTTGGGTAGGTTCAGCAATATGGCTTGGTTAAGTTAATAATAAGTGCTGGCTCTGCCCTAGCCATAATAGGAACTTCCACGGAGCTATATGACAGTCTTACCCTGTCAGAATTTCTCCATGAGCCATTAGCCCATGTTCCATAAAGCCACTGTTTGAGTTCTGCACATAGAGATCTGCACCAGCGCAAAAGTAACCCTTCAACAGGGATCGAGCTGCGGTCTCCATGTCCGGTGTGGATCTGAAAAGCTGGACTTGTCTTTTTAGCTCCCCGGGTTAATCCCCAGGTGTGCCTATTCGTAGGCCCGGGTGGCCGGCATTTTGGCGAGAAGAACTCGGAGCTGTGGAAAAAAGTCACTGTAGAGATGACTCTGCTCCTCGTCAAAGTCCTGCTTGAAGTCTTTGAATATCTGATCGAGGATGAAACCTAGTCTGAGCTGCAGGACATGCTCACAACCTATTGAGGCCCTTGAGTGAGGGCGCCGAAGACGAGACCCAATTGTGAGAGGTCATGGTGTTTGGGTGTTCGACTCCGTGCCTCGTTAAGACGACGCTGTAGTTCAGTGAGAGTCTCATTGTTGCGAGCTTGGTCAAGTAATCTCTTATCAAGCCACTGCGAGCAGTCAGTGTACCGTGTGTGGGCTTTGCTGTTCTCTTCCAAAAGTTTTCAAGAGGCTGCCGGCGTTGGTTTGTCTTTAATGACAGCCACTGCGTCGGATATGGTTCTCACGAACCAAACCCAGCAGACCATTGATCTTTCAGGATTGCTGGCTCTGGTGCTCAGCTGTCGGTGAAGTAGCTGGCAGTCCTGAATATGCCTCAGACAACACCATTATTTAAGATAATATCTGCCTCTTCAAGTATCTTCCCACTCTGGAAGCAGATTAACTTGTCAGGGATTACTTTATCAGGTGGAAATTCTGCATGCCACCCCTTGGCAGCCTTGATGTTCTCTCTCTGCCGCGTTGTATTCTGTCCATATGACCGGTTACCACACAACGAAAGCCATCTCGCTGTAGACACATGTCTCGAAAGCTCGCTTCGCGAGTCTCCGGCTCATCCAGAGTTCCGGCCACCATCTCCACATGTTCCTGCCTTTTCAGGATGGGTGAATCTGTAACCGAACCCTCGCGAGAGCGAGCTTTCACTGTTTGGACGACTCGATGAAAGGTCTGGTGGATGTATTTCTTTGGCTGTGAACGTTGCGCTCAGCTCCTTGCGAATCAGGAGCTGGTAGTCGTAGACAAGGACAATTTTCCTCTGCCCCAGGCGACAGACTCATCCAATCACTTGGTCCACCAGAGGCGCAGAAAAGAACCCACCGGCCGCCATGGAGGCACCGGGGGCGGGCGCAGAAACCGGAGCACAGACGACCGGGGCCGGGGCCGGGAACTGCCAGAGAGCACAATTAGCAAATGCGTCAAACAGGAAACACGAGAGAACAAACGCACTGACTGGCAGGCCTGGTGCAGCCCCGCGCAACGGGTGCACTTCCACCTGCCGGAGAGTAGCCCGAGCAGTAGAGGCGCCGACCGCGCGCGCCACGACGAGAGGAAGTCTTCTGGTAAGGGAAAAAGAAAAAAACTAGAAAACCTCGTTTCGCAGATTCCCCTACGGCCTCAAACGCCGTACGGCCATCACCACCAAGGCGCGAGTGCAACTACCTCGCGGGGGTAGGAAGCAGGCATTGCCTTTTAGCACATGGAATGCTGCATAATCAGGGAAGGATATATGTACTTATGCCCCTTAAGAAAACGCAGAGTCAGTTGCCCATAAAGAGCATTAAACGTGTCTCCAACAGTAATTGATACATCACTCCACTTCAGATGAGTGCCTTTATCAAAACTATCCCGAATTAAGTCTCCTATTTAGAGTCAGACGTCAGTGTGTATATTTATGAATTATGATGATGGGAAGATTAGACAAACCGGGACGACAACCGAGTGCACTCTGCATGACAATCATGCAGAGCTTTAGTAAATGAAGATCCCACGATAGAGTGCCACGGTTGATTCCATAGTCTAACCAAGCAATGGCCATCTGCCGAACAACATACTGGCCAGCCCATGCTCGGGGCAACGAATGTCCTTTGACAAGCGCCTTCTCTTTGACAAGTCTCTCTAAATTCGAAGAGTTCCATCTGTCCGAGCCTCAAGCTCACTGGACCCAAACCACGCCCTTAACCGGTAACGGCTGCCTATCCATTCTGCCGTACCCCAGGCACCTTCAGGCAGACTGCCTGGAGCCAGTCAACAATGGCAAAATCGACAATTTCCTCGTCTGTTGTGGGTATGATGCTCCACGCATGGACATGCTTTTGACTATGGGACTTCTTCGAGGGAGTCGACGATATGAACATCACGGGCGACGTGGCACGTCTCTTTCCCTTCAATCGGGCACAGGACTGCGCACAACCGAAGGCGAAACGGCGAGGCAAGAGTCGATCTTTTTCACCAGCTGTTTATCAACCCTGAAGGATTGATAATTGAATTGCATTGCGGTGAATACATGCATAATGCCATGTCTGATTGTCCTCACATTGATTGCGTTCGTATATCGTAACCTGGCCCAACTGCTGCTGCCATCTGCCCTGTACTCCGTTCTCATCTCCCACAACAACCTGCTCATGGAGAAGGCTATGGGGTCCGGGTTCCTGGATCGGCCGGAGGAAAATATGGTGTTGGTGGTTCGTCTACGGATGGCGGTCGAAGGCAGACTCATCGTCCTGAACGAAGCCATCCCACTCTGTTATAGTTCCGGTGAAGTGAACTGGGTGAAGAGCGATATGTGTTGTGCTCGATGGTCCAGTTCTGAGGTCAGCGCACGGAACAACTTGATGAGTAGGTGCCATTTCTACACTGCAGGTTAGCACATTCAGGTTGCACTGAGCAAAGCAAAGTAGGAGTCAAGGAGATACAGGGATACTCACAAAGGCACAGGGGTCAAGCTGAGCATGTAGCCATCTGTTCGGGCTTCCATGCTGGCTCGGCTGAGGTCGACATTTTGCATACAAGACGTCCAAGACTGCATCCATAACTTATGCCATGAGTGGTCAGGGTTATTGCATCGAGAGATTGCCATGAGTGCCTGATTGACACACTGGTCAAGGGCTGTCAGTGAGGAAATCTCCCACTTCTGCTTGGCTGCGGCTGCTGTTCCAGTCGCTGGCGAGGAGAGGCAGTCGCAATTTGTAAAGATCTCATGGAATCCCATACAAAATCTCATGAGATTGCAGTAACAACAACCTTTTTGTGTTGATGATGAGGCGATCCATAGAGAGTATAGCTGGGAGCATGCCCCGGCAGAACACAGCAACAGCCATATCAGACTCCAGGTATGGAGCTGCGATGCTTCCGGTCTTAATCTCTCCAGGATCTCCCACAGAGATGAAACTTTGATTGTGTTAGATAAGGAATGCCCACGAAGGGTATGAAAAGGGTGCTAAAGTATCACCTTTAAGAACGCCCTTGCAGACTGGGCTCGCTTTCTGAGTATCCGGCCTCTATCAACCCTCCTGGGCGAGCATCTGGGACTCCTGCCTGTCTTCCTTCACGGGTTAGAAGAACATAGTCAAGTTAAGTGGAGGAAAAAGGGAGCAGCAAACTATTCAGCATGCCCATCACTCATCTCCGTCTTCTCCTCCGAAGTTGTCATTGGTGATGCTTTCCGAAGATACTGGATTGCTGACCCATGCATGAATGATCAGTCATATTCATCGCATCGAAAAGATAGAAGCCAACAATGAATGCTTGACGCTGGAGCATCTAGCTGAAAGTCTGACATGAGAAGAAGGAGTCAAGGTCCAGCGCTGAACAGACATCCGATTTAGAACAGGGGGGGAATACCTCTTCACTTAGCTATGGCAATAGTATTCACAGTTCACATTCAAAGCATTCAATAAACTTGAAAATCTTCACTATCGGCATCAAACACCAAAAAACCTTCACAAAACCTACTTCCCACTCCCCAGATCCACAAACTCCCGGAAGCACTCCCCCTTGTAACCCCCCAGCGTCCCATTCGTCGCCAGCACCCGGTTACAGGGCACCGCC